GTTGAGAATTTGGTGCTTCGGCACTAAAATCACTGCTTTTTTTTTCTGAAATGCATGGAACTGTACAATAATAGCACTTGATTCACACAATCAGAATAATATTATAATTAAAGACCCTCCTGTATGATTTCTGATTTAAGTTCTGTGAGCAACTCTCTTTTAATATCAGTGGGCTGTACAACAGGTCCATGCTGTTTCAGATCGAGGGAACTCAAAAAAGAGACTGTCAACTAAACAACAAGCATCAACATCATTCATTTAGGGACCAAATGACAGTGAAAGCAAATGCGGACGATATTAAGTAATTGCAAAGGAATACAGCGTACTAGCAGGAATTAATTGCTAGAAGCAAAGATGTCTTTTTTACTCTTTTCTTCTCCTTTGCCTAAGCAAAGGCATGCAGGCAGTTTTAAAAGGCAAAGGGATAAGTCAGTTTTTTGATTCTCTGAGCCTTGGTTCACAGAGTTTAGGTCCTTGGTTGGGGATGGCAGAACGTGAATCAAAGGATCAGCATTCGGTCCTGTTATTGCTGTATGCCCACTTCCCACACAACCCACGTCCAAAACACGCAGACCTCAGTACAAATACCTGGGAACTGTATTAACAGTTATTTGGATCCCATGCACAAAAAACTACCGAGTAGGTTTTTTTTTTCCTCAGAATATTTAAGACTCTCAGTCTCACTAATACTAATGCAAAATGACTAATAAAAGCAGGAATTTAACAGTGAAATAACCCCCACCCATCCCCCCAAAAGTATCATTTTTTCCAAAAAGAATTAAGATAAATTTAACATCAAGCAAAACCAAAGAAAACTAGATAGTCATGCTGCAATGTAGCTAACTTAAAAAAGAAAAGGAAAAAAAAAAAAAAAAAGCACAGCTTCTAACATTGACTTCATGTAAAGAGGTAAGAAGAAAGCAAGAAAACCTCTTGCTTTTTTTTCCAGGAAACGTTGGCTATCTTTCAAACAGGTGGGCAAAGAGTGACAGCACTAAGCCACAGAGAATGAGTGTTTTGCTCTTCCTGTAAACGTTGCAACAAGAAAGCAAATCTGGTTAGAGTAGAAGGAAAAAGGAGAAGGAGCTCCCAAGGAGCTCCGAGGTCTTCGACAGGAAGGCCGCAGATGCTGCTGCTTCTGCCACGTTAGCTCTATCTGAGGCCATGCTTCATGGTCTGGGTTAGCCATCAGAGAAAAGGCATTTTGTAAAATCACTGTCTACTTGCAGAGATCTGCTAAAACCAGACATGTTCTGCCCGTACCTCCAAAGGGAATACCGCAATGCAAAATAATAGGAGGCAATAAGAGCGTGTAACACAGTAATTCGGTTTATCCTTAACCGATACTTAACTTTTAACATAGAAGTAGTCTTGATTTATCTCAGTCAGAATATTCCTGTAAGCAGTGTCATGCAGAAGTATTTACAGAACTGAAGCCTCCACTTTGTCATGCATTCAAACAGCTTCAAAAAATATGTCACTTTCCCTCACCAGATATAAAAAGCTGTTATTCCCCCTACAACACAAGGAAGAGTTAAAATGTTAAAGAAACAATTGCAGTTAGGCGTTATATTTTTTAGATACTTTGCTATAATCTTAACTATTTAATATGCTTTTTCATTGAAATGTTATTTGCCCAGCTTAGGGTGCTCTGTTTAAATGACCTTTTTTTTCTTCCTATTTCTCTGACATACCTGAGTTTTACCTGTGTTTAATACTACATTTACAAAAGCCTTTTCTATGCCACTGCCTCGTTTTTACGAAAGGTTAGCTCTTCAGGATTTGCTGTATACAAGGTTACCAATTACACTAGGATGTTTCAGGTTTTATTTAGTTTTAACTGATGAAAGCCGAGGTTTTAAACTCATCAATCTCTGTAAGAAAACTCGAGCACAAGTTGTCTAAAGGCAGATGTGTATTTGCCTCCTATCATGAATTTTAGCAAAACCTATGCAATTATCCAGTTAAACTCTTCAGTAGATATTTATTCTTGGAAACAAATTGATTTCTCTGAAAGTTTTAACTAATGTTACATTATATATATTATCATATATATTTACATTTTTAGTTATACATATATAGGTGTTTTGCTGACAGCATGATCATTTATAATTAGTCAACAGTAGTATCAAATATAACATCGGTTTCTCTCTGTTTCATGTCTCCTTTTTTGAGCATGGCTGAAGTCTAACTTGTTATATGATTAATTTCTTGGATTTTTTTAAGGAAAAAAAATCACTAAAGGAAAATAAATAAATAAATAAATCTATAGAAAAATAAAGACTACAGAAAGTGTCATTAGTTTGACAGTCAAAATTAATTGTGTCACAGCAAATCACAAAAATCTGATCACAGTTCCTGTAGATCAGAAACCTACACTCCTTTTTAGGCATTGCAATTACACTGCCTCTTTCAAAAATGGTCAATGTGAAGAAAAGATGGGGAAAGCAGTAAAGTCTAAAATGAAAACTAGCAAAGTGTCGCTTTTCCCTTTTGCAAGTTTTATTTTGTTAACCACTGTGGATTTGGGGGGGAAAAAAGAAACTCAGAAAAATAATGTCATAAATAATTCCCTTATTACTTATATATCACCTGTAAGAACCTTTTATCTTTTACTTCAAGTTATTCCAATACAAATTATACCAACCTGTCCAGTTGCAACAGTTTACCCTGTCCCACAAATCTTTTTAAGGCTTGAATATGAATTAATGAGAAGAATAGTAGCCGGCTGCATATTTACACACAAAATTATAAAAGCTTTGCTGGTTAGCAACAAATCTGATTTTTGTCTCATTTAACTAATGGCATATGGAATGCTCTGCAAGGCATATGGTACTAATTAAATATGGTACGAGTCCCTCGGATAGTCAATATAGCCACGAGGTATCCAAGGAATGTTTCCCTTCAGTGTACATTATCTATGTATTGATTTGACGGTCTGAATGCATAAAAGCCCTGGAACTAACAATGTTTAATGATGTGGGAACCGCACTTCTATTCTTGTCTATGCGAATGCTGCAGTTGCTGAGGAAAAAAAATCACTGAGATACTTAATGAGCAGGCAAATTATGAACTAATAGGAACTGGCTTATTTTCATTCATACATTAGCCATTGATCTTGATATTTCTTTTTAACCTTTGTTTTGACATTTGCAGTATAGTTTTGTGATTATATGCCAGGGAGCAGTAAATTGAAGATATCACCCTATTTCTAACAGAAATTGTAAACAGCAAGATTCTATAAATACCAACAACATAAAAAAAGCTAAAGTCTAAAGTTGTATAATGCTAATGACCCATTTTAAAAAGTCTAACACACATCTTATATAAAAACACAGTTTCAAATATTTGACACCACATGCAGTAAGGGGTTAATTATTAACTTTAAATATAAGCCCACTTGTATTTAATTCTCTTTTCAACTCAAACTCAAAGATTTTGGCTTCCTCTAGCATACAGCAGGTCAGTGAAAAATTAACTCAAGAAAATGAGGACTGTGTTTGCTTTGCTTCATAATTATCACTTTGGGTAACACAAACAGCAGCAGTGAATTCTCACAGTCATTATTTGCCTGCTTACAGTGTCCTAAGCCACATACAGAACAAAGATGGTTGAATTTCCTGAGCTAATGAGAAAGTGGCAAGTGACCTTCTGTCAACCAGAATATTGCCATACAAAAGAAACAGTCTTGCTACCACTCTATCTAGCACCAGTGGCTCATTTTTTATAAAGCCACTTCTTGACCAGTTGCAGAGCAGCAGTTTGTGTTCAGGCAGCACAGATTCTTTTGTAGGTCCAGAAATTCCTGGTTGGCAAAAAAATACAGCATCTTCTATAGCACTTTGAACTGTCCAGCTTTCTCAAGCTACCACCACTTGCAAAATCTACCATCACCACTAACAGCCAGAAATGAAAACTGCTTCCTCCCCAGTACACTGGCTGTGAAACATGCACTCTGCTTCTGATACAGAGACTTAGGAGAAATGGGTAAGTTAAGCAAGAAGGCAGTCACTCATTTTAAAGCAACCTGATATGAACTTCATCATGCTGCCACTTTTATACCAAAAGTACGATAAGAACAAGAGTAGATCTGAAATCTTATTAGTCATCTGCTACAAAACAGTTTGTCACTAAAGATACAAAAGCCACTAGGCAAATAAAACATGGTGACTTGAGAATGAATTCTGGACAGTACTTACTGCACACTATGCTGGAAAGTGTAATCAGAATCTTACCTGACTACTCCATATAGCCTGTCCTCAGAGGCTCAAATTCTACAGTTCCTTTCAAAATTCTTTTAAAGCATGCAAAAATATTACTCTGGAAACTTAAGATCTGCTGTTTTTGACATGTAGTATCAATGAACTGAAAGGAGCAGTAACATTCAAGGTAGCTGAATCCCTATTATGTAAAACAAGCTGCATTTTCCAGCTCTATCCTCAACAGTATTTCTATTTGTGGAACACGGTAAGAATTGCGCTCTGCGCCTTCCTGCTCTAAGATTTCAAAACAGAATTTCTCTTTAAAAACACACATGCCCTTAAAGATATTTTCAAACCAAAATATCGTGCATGATAAACAGGTCAGCATATACCAAGGAGTCTTTCTTTCCTCCTGTAGATTGCACCAGACATATTGAAAGCCTATGCACCCAAGATATATACAGTATACCAGGTAACACTGAAAACCTAAATTCAAAGGAGGAAGAAAAAAATAAAATCCAACAACATAAAGAAATTAGCTCTGAGCTAAAAAATAATATTTTTACGTAGCTGTACAACATTATCTGGCAGATAGTCTATTTGCAGGCTTGCTCTAATATAACAAATTAACACTGCTTTCCAACCCTGTCTTTCTGCATTTACATACCATGCATTATGCACAAAAAAAAAAAAAAAAAAAATACAAATAGAGAGCTCTTCAGCCTGCCTAGCCTGCCACCGAAACCAGCAGAGAATTTTTCATTGATAAAAACAGAGAATGGAAGAAATCAGACCAACCTTCACAATGTACGTCACACCAGGTCCCAGGATCTTCTCACTCGAGTGCAGCCATCCTCGAGAGGGTTTATTGACAAAGCTGCTACTTTGATTCCAGTCTTCGCCTGCCGGGTGCATTTCCTCTGACCGTGTTTTTTTCCCCATACTCATCTTGCTCACGTCCTGCTGAGAACACGAAGTGGCAGAGACAAGGTTACATGTGTTGTCTGAAGCTCCTGCTGCCGAGCTAGAAGCACTCGAGCTTCCCTGCAACTTGGAGACAGCAAGCTCCTTTACTGCAGAGGAGAGGTTTTTGATACCCAAAAGGCTGCCTGTGTTAGAGAGTTTCAGGTGGGACACTTTATGGATGAGGGTGCACAGGGTGGTGGGTCCATCTTCTTGGTCCTTGCGGAGAACCTCTGGCGAGACCAGGTATGGAGGTGCCGCTGAAGTCGTAGCAACTGCTGAGACCTTGCTGTTCATGGACAAATTGTGAATAAGATCATCAACTGATGTCACCGAATCATTCCTGAAGCGGTTATACTTGGTACGTTGAAGCATGCCCTTCTATCTGGTTTCCTGCATATGTTCTGGCAAATCTGATGCCAACGCAGGAGATGCCTGTGCTAACATAGCAGGCGATTCATAACAACACGGACGGACAACAAGATTTTGGGGTAAAAAAAAAAAAAAAGCAAAGAGATGAGGAAGAACAAAAATACATATATTTTAAAGAAATTTCTTATGGTTCCACGTTAAGGTTGGTTGAAGTAATAGTTTTCTACGACAGAGATCCCAGTCCTGCTTAGAGCTGCCAACTCGCTCACAGCAAAAGCATGACTCACACAAATGAGAAGGACCCTTTTCAACAAAAGGCTCAGTGAACACTGCAAATCACTTCCTGTAGCAAAAAAAAAAAAGGCAAAAAAAACCCCATCCACCCACTTACAGCTCACTAGCACCAATCAATTCTCAAATTTCCCTTTGCTATCTTCTCAAACAGATATTTCCTTCCAACCTTTAATTTTTTTCCCCCCCTCTTTTTGTACCAGAGGAAATTACCTTTAAAACTGATTAAACATCCTTTTAAAAAAACACCACACACTAATTCTTCTGCTTAAATTTTCTTCCACCTCACATATTTGCGAATCTATGAAGAAGACAAAATTACATATCAGGTATCTGGATAATATGAACACATATGCGTTCCTTCCCCCCTCCACCTGCCCCCCTTCCCTGCAGCAAAATAGATACCTTGAAGGTTTACAGAACACCTGAATGCACAGGTATTACAAAGACAGACGAGGGAAACAAAGAATATACATGTTTTCTTCCACAAAAGCAACCTCAGAGATTTAACAAGTGCTTTTGTGCCCATGCTGTTTCTCACAGACACCGTTATATCAAATGTTTGACACGGAAATAAATCCTTCTCTCCAGTTACTCCACAGCAACCTTCCTTTTTTTAATACAGGATTACATAAAGTACCTAATGTGTGAAGAAAAGTATTTTTCTGATGTCCAATCACAGGCTTAAAAGATGCTTTTTTTCTTTCACCACTGATATTCTCTCCCAAGAAAGCTGTGAAATGAATCTTCTATTCAGTGGAGTATTTGATGTACTTCTGAAAAAACTCAGAAGTACTAAGAGAATACCAAAAAGTCCATGTAGAAGCAAACTCACAACCTGCGGGAAGAAAAAAAAAAAAAAGGCACCAAGTCTTATTAGGCAAAAATGTCAGCCACAAACTTAATCTGAGGAGCAGCAGAACCTGAAAAAACTGGACAGTTCCCTTCTCTTATGTCTGGTTGGAAAAAACACAAAATGTACACAGCACTGTGAAATACACTGCCCATCACAAGCCATATGCCTCTTTTCTGTCAATTGCAAAAAAATATATTTGGGATGCAGGACAACGCACTGCATTGCAAACAAATTCAGGGAAGAGAAGCTGCACAGTGAAAAGTTGCTTAAAAAAGAGGAAAAAAAAGAGAGAGAGAGATTACTAGTTGCAGCACACGTTTAAAGGAAAAATCCTGCGGTATACCTTTCCCTGACCAAAGGCTGCAGCACGGCAAGCGCCAATGCACGAGAGCAGCTTAAGCGCAGGTATAATCGTGCCGGCAGCAGGGCGCGGGCAGCACCGCTGCCCCCGATGGCAGCGTCCTGGCAGCGCGCAGGCGGCCGCGCTCCGCGGAGGCGGCCTC